GGCGCCAATCCCATACTGACTCGCGTCAGTTGTGACAATGAAGGGAAGAGAAGGGTCAGCAATTTTTAAGACGGGATAGTGAGTTAATGCATATTTCAGTTTCCTGAATTCAGACTCACAATCTTTGTCCCACAACCATATCATTCCTTTTCTCAACAGTCTTCTCATGGGTGCAGCTATTTATGAAAAGTTTCTAACGAACTTTCGGTAATAGCTGGCCAATCCAAGGAATGATCTCAACTCAGTGACAGTCTTGGGTTGTGGCCAATCTCGAATTGCTGAGATCTTTTTTTCTTCAGGCCGGAGGCCTTCTTCGTTCACTATGTGTCCCAAGTATAAAACTTCAGTCCTAGCGAACTCGGATTTCTTGGGATTCAACTTAAAATTACCCTCGCGTAACTTCCCAAGTACTAGACGTAAATGTTTTTCGTGATCTTCTAGTGTCTTACTATACACTAGAATGTCATCAAGATAGACAATGACGAACTGATCTAACCACTGACGAAATAATTCATTCATAGATCTTTGAAAGGTCGCTGGGGCGTTGGTCAAACCAAAAGGCATCACCATGAACTCGTAATGGTCATACATTTTTCGGAAAGCGGTCTTGTGCTGATCAGCGGGATCTATTTCAATCTGGTGGTATCCAGACTTCAAGTCGATCTTGCTGAAATACTTACAGCCCTGCAACTGGTCCAACAGATCATCACTACGTGGTAGGGGTTCGGCATTCTTTACAGTGATGGAATTCAACCCTCTATAGTCAATACAGAGACGTAGCTCACCTTCCTTCTTAGGCACAAACAAGACAGGCGCACCATAAGGAGAGGAGCTTGGGCGAATCCATCCTTTTTCGGTCAAGTCCTGGAGTTGTTTCTTCAGTTATTCAAGTTCCCTATGAGACATTCTATAAATAGGGCCCTTGGGAGTCTTACTTCCGGGAATGATTTCTATAGTGTGCTTTATAGCACGCTCAGTAATCCCCGTAGGTTCTAGAGATAAATCTTTATACTCATCTAAGAGTTTTTTTAATCGAGGGTGGATAGGAAGCGGAAGTTTCACCAACTTGTTTTACCAATACCATCATCACTTCCTGTTCCAATTTCTTCTTCCTGACCATGAATCGAAAAACTGGATAACTCATGCAACAGAACGATAAGTTAGAGTCAGAGCCAGACTTATGATACAACTTAATGGTTTTCAATCCGGATTGCACATCTCGTAGTTGTATTACCTTATCCTTAAAGTTGATTTCTGGGTTGGCCTCCTCGTGCCAATCCATTCCCAGAATCATATCAAAGGGCAAGCTCTTTTCTACCAAAAACGAGATTTCATGTGCAATCTTCTTTCCGTCCCTCGTGCGGAAATAGCATTTTACACGATCGACATACCGAGAGACAGTGATCGTGCTCTTGTCTGCTAAGATAGACGTGATGGGTTGAGACAAGTCTTTTACCTTCATTCCGAGATGTAGCTTTTTGATAGACTTCTCGGAAATATAGGATCGTGTAGATCCTGAATCTAACAGTGCACCTGCGCGTACGTGTGCGATTTCTATATCAGCGAGTACTAATTCACCCTTAGACTTTGCTTTCTTAGCCCACGAGCTTCGCAGTGCTAGCAACTCGTTGCTCAGCTCGTCAAGGGAGTCGTCCAGAAAAATGGAACATAAGACAAGTTCAGGGTGATCTGGACGAGGGGCTGGAGAAGGATCATCCTCTGCCCTGCGAGTTGAAGGATTGAAAGGGTTAGTAGGCGCCTTACCTTTCTCTATTCCTGAATCCTTCAACTTAGTAGAAGCGGATGTTACTTCTACTGGTGACTGACTTTTGGGTTTCGTATAAGCGGACACCTGGCTATCACATGCCTTGCGGTCCCACATTTCAAACACTGGGCGTTATCCATTCGCTTTTGCCACGTCTTTTGGTCTATGTCCATCCTTTCCGAAGGCTTCTCAGCCGCGATGCCGGGATGCTCGGGGAAAGATCGGGGCCTCCTCCTCACACTAGGTTTTGGTCCTCCCTTCTTAACCATGGCGGCAACAACTTCCCCCTTTCCGGATCCGTTGCCGCCTGACACACCCTCGGCCTCCAATGGCCACTTCTCTACGGTGTCGTCATCAAAGACGACAAGGGTGTGATCTGCGCGCTTCYGGCGCCACAACACTCGCTTACCTGTACCTGCATGACCACCAGATTTCACCACAGATGCATACGATTGTTTAACCTGAGAAGTCATTTGCTCTCTCTGGAGAGCCAGATCGCGAAACTGCCTGTACTTATACTTATCGGACTTTGACTCCGCCACTAACTGACCTCGTATAGGTTCAGGTAGGGCCCGGGCATAGATATACAAGACCTGATCGTCATGCAGATTTAGACCCGCTACTTGCAACAATCGGTCGACCTCACGGGACAACGCTTTTACAGACGTCCAATGTCTCTGTCCTATATTAGTGAGCTAATCGAAGGCCTTACCAATGTCGTCAAAACCTGCCGCGTTGGCTTCTGTCAGGACCCATTCTTTGGCCTCTCCTCCAAGACACGACGTGGAGAAGGCTACCTGTGATTCTTCTTCCACTGGGGTCGTCCCGACGTAGGTCTGTATTTCCGCGATCCACAGTAATAAGTTTTCATCCTTCTTATTACTGAACGTGAAAGGCAATTTCATCTTCACCTTTTCTTTCTTCTTCGGCTTTTCTGGYTGTGCCATGTTTTCGTTCGTTCCTTTTGGTGATCCGTTAGGTGGTGGACTTGGTGGATCTGAAGGTCCCCCAGATTCTTCATTCCTAACTGTGGCGACCCTTAATGACGTCATTGCATCACTCATCAACTTTTTTGGCTTCTCTTCGTACTGAGTTTTTTCTACCTTGTTCTTTCCTTTTACCAGGTTGGTGACAGTACGCAGGCCGCCAATGAGCTCTTCAATCTGCAGACCTTGCTGTTCAATTCTGGTTTCTAAATGAGCAAGGTAGGTGATGAGTTGTGGCAATGATACATTTTGTCCATCCTCTCCAATCACCAAAACATTTTGTCTAATCTCCTGCACTCTTTGTTCTTGCTGATTTATTCTTTTCTGTTGTTTTTCCAGTTCTTCTTTACTTATTCTTTCTTTGACGAGTGCTTCTTCCAACTGCTTGATGTTCTCATTTACGGTAGCCAGAGTTGCTGGTTGTTCCTTCTTTTCACT